CCAGCACTCAGGAGGCAGAGGCAGGCGGATCTTTGTGAGTTCGAGGCCAGCCTGGTCTACAAGAGCTAGTTCCAGGACAGGCTCCAAAGCTACAGAGAAATCCTGTCTCGAAAAACCAAAAAAAAAAAAAAAAAAAAAGAAAGAAAGAAAGAAAGAAAGAAAGAAAGAAAGAAAGAAAGAAAAATAAAAATGAGCAGCATGAAGAACAGATAGCAACTACATGGAAACAACGCTGAGTTAGTAAATGAAATAAATGACTAGTTGAGGGAAATTCAGGTGAAAACCTCAACAAGGCAAGAAGAGCAGCAATTACCAATAGAGATCTCAAATGAAAGGACTGGGCACACAAGCATTGGTGAGGATGTGGAGAAGAAAGAAAGCCTCTTACAAACTGATGGCTGAGATGCCGAATGCTACTATTTCTTTAGAAAACAGCTTGGCAGTTTCTCCAGAATCTAAGCCTACCAAATAATTCAACATCACAGACAAAAATACAAATTTTAATCTCCATTTTTGAGTAACTCACCTGTTACATGGAGCTTCAAGTTTGTGACTTGAGTTTCCTCACAAGAAAATGGGATTCAAGTATTAGTGAGAATCCCTGCAACTGACAGGTAGAGGCAGGAGAATCTGAAGTTTAAGGCTAACCTCGGCTACACAGGGAGTTATGGGCCAGCCTGGGTGACATCAGTCACGAAACATCAGTCTTTGTTTTCATAAAAAATTAAAACAAAAACAGATATGAATTAGAAAATATCATCAATACATTGAATACACACTTCCTGTCTGGAAGCCAAGTACAGACTGTAAGTTGGGATGCCAGTTTATGTCTCTGAAAAGATACATCATAGAAAAAGCCCTTTCCCACAGAAGACCACTTCCTAAATAGAACCCCAGTAGCACAGATACTAAGAGAAACAATTAATAAATGGGAGCTCCTGGAACTGAGAAGCTTCTGTAAAGCAAAGGACACGGTCAACAAGACAAAATGACAGCTTACAGAAGGAAAAAAGATCTTCACCAACCCCACATCAGACAGAGGGCTGATCTCAAAATATACAAAGAACTCAAGAAATTGGTCATCAAAGGAACAAATAATCCAGTAAAGAAGTGGAGTACAGACCTAAACAGAGAACTCTCAACAGAGGAATCTAAAATGGCTGAAAGACACTTAAGGAAATGTTCAACATCCTTAGTCATCAGAGAAATGCAAATCAAAACAACTCTGAGATTCCATCTTATACCTGTAAGAATGGCCAAGATCAAAAACACTGATGACAACTTATGCAGGAGAGGTTGTGGGGTAAAGGGAACACTTCTACATTGCTGGTACAGCCCCTTTGGATGTCAGTGTGACAATTTCTCATAAAATTAGGAAACAACCTTCCTCAAGACCCAGTAATACCACTTTTAGGTATATATCCAAAGGATGCTCAATTCTGCCACAAGGGCATGCGCTCAACTATGTTCATAGCAGCTTTGTTTGTCATAGCCAGAACCTGGAAACAACCTAAATGCCCCTTGACCAAAGAATAGATAAGGAAAATGTGGTACAATTACACAATGGAGTACTACACAGAAGAAAAAAAATAATGGTATCTTGAAATTTACAGGTAAATGGATGGAGCTAGAAAACGTCACACTGAGGTGACCCATACTCAGAAAGACAATAATCACATATAATCACTCATAAGTGGTTTTTAAACATAAAACAAAGAAAACCGCCTACAAATCACAATCCCAGAGAACCTAGACAACAATGAGGACCCTAAGAGAGACATACACAGATCTAATCTACATGGAAAGTAGAAAAAGACAAAATCTCCTGAGTAAATTAGGGGCATGGGGACCATGGGAGAGGGTTGAAGGGGAGGGAAAAGGCAGGGAGGAAAGCAGAGAAAAATGTATAGCTCAATACAATCAATAAATAAAATTCAATAAAATCAATAAATAAAAGCCCCTTCCATTCACTCAGCTTCTGCTAAACACCAATAATGATTAATTAATCTTCCCCCAGGCCTGCTTACAGACCTAAAATAAACACTGCAAAAAAATTCTGACAGATTAAAGCCCTTCCAGACTTCCTTGCGTCACATCTCTAGTCCCTCTGCTTGTAAGATGACTGCTGGCTGTATCAAAACTCTTTCAACAGCTCAACTCTTATTTGGAGTATCTTTCCCCCTGGCTTGGCTCAGTTTTACTCTGATGATCTCTAATTTATATTTTTTTCCCCTGTAAAAAATCTTCAGCACAAGAATTCCAGCCATCAGAACCTGACTGATTTTTCCTAAGCTGTCACCGAATTTAATTCCTATTCCTTTGTGTCCTTCTCTCTCTGCGCATGCGTGATAGCTGGGATTTCCAGATGAGCAAATGTGGCGTGAAGACCACATCAGACCGAGCCTGTATCACTGCGTCAGTGAAAAATCAGTTTGCTTCCCAATACAAACGGCAGCATGCTTTCAAATGCAGCAAGTCCTGGTGTCTCCCCACTGTCTGTGAAACAGCTCAGCCTCGCTGCCTCCTGCGACTGTGACAGCCTTTGTCTTTGCTTTGTGAGCAGAGATGCAGACTGGTGGCTGATTCCCTTGAAGTAGGGGGATCTACATCGTCATACAGTGAGAAAAGAGCTGATTTTTCGGTCATTCTGTTTCCCCTCTCCAAGTACTACAACCATTTTTATCTGTAAATAATATTTTTAATAATTGTAGATACATCCTCGAAATGTGCTGCATAATACAACTCCATACATTTCGGAAGCTGACAGCTACTCCCTGATGGATAGCCTGACAGTCTGAAATTTAGAAATCAATCACTGAGATATAATGACGCTGTGCCGTGGCTCCCAGGATGTATTGTGGCACCCAGGAACCACTTATCTGAGATATGCCATCGTAACTCTGATAGATTAAAGCACCATATCCAGGAACAATTGTGTGTGTGTGCGGGGGAGGGGGCGGCGGACGGTGGAGAATGCTATCGTAGATCTGCCATGTTACAGTCCAGGACCCAGAAGCCAGCCCAACAAGCCAGTGCTTCATGGAAGCTCCCAGAAACCTGGGAAACAGCAGGATGACAATTCTGTTCTCCAACAGCCCATTATGAACTAATTAGCATACATGAATTGCAGATTTGAAGCATTAAAGTGATGTACAAATCATTAATTTTTTGTCAAATCTATGTCATCCTTGTGTATGCTCCTCTTTTAATGTTGCATGACAGTGAAAGAGGTACAATCCCCTGTATGTAAAGAAGAGAGATCTGGCGTAGCTGATATAATGAGATCTATTTAAACACTATGCATTTTGCGGCTTTGAGTCTAGAGGCTGGGGAAAATGCTACACTGGTCCCATTAGGGTTAATTGTGAAAGGATGTTAATATATTCAAACCCCAGGGGTAATTCTACATGTTGTTTGAATGAAACAGGAGATGTTAGGGCAACTTCATATTTGAGCTTTCATTTTTAAAAGTCCTCCTTTTGATTAATATAAAACGTCATGACATCCTTCTCCCTGACTGTGGGAGGTGGAACTGCTTACAATGAGAGCTGAGACCATAGGTGTGCACACGACAGCAGATACAGTCTTCTTAACCAGTGCCAAATTTAATTAATAAAGATGTAGGTTGTTGGTGATGTGGAGAGAGGAAACCAGCATCAAAGCTTATTTTGATACTGGAAAAGGCTCCTAGATATTAATTTGTGGTTTTCTGTATTGTCTAAATGTATTTAATTACTAAAGCTTTGGTGCTTAAACAACTGCTTGGTGTTTCATTTGAATTTCTTCTTACTACAGTGGAGTCACAATGTTTAATTTGTTAGTATTGTAATCATTTCCATAGCAACAGCCTAATGTTTTATATATAAATATGCATGCAGCATGTATATATATATATACATAATAAATGTGTAGTAGAGATGATTATGACTTCATTCCAAGAGCACGCCGTGAAAAGACTTAGCTATCAATGAAAATCCTAATTAAAAATGCAGATCTACTTTGCGAGGCTAAGGAGATGGCCACGGTTGGAGTGGGAATTCTAAGAAGAGGAGATTGTCAGTTCTCTTCCTGTAAGTTTCTTACTATCTGGGAGCACAGTCATTTGTGACAACGCCTCCCTGAATGCTCTTTTAACCACATAAATTCAGAATAAAATGAAATTTAGAACGAAGTCGGGGAAAGGGGGTGTTGTTCAAAAGATGATATACAAAAAGCCCGGGGATAGATCCAAAAATAAGTTGAAAAGGGTGAGATTATTTGTTCTGCTTTCCTGAAAGAAATATCTGCAGACATATCATCTGTGTCAGGCTTTTCTCTTTAAGGTTTGTATTGTAGTTGCATTCAAGCTAAGGCTCAGAGTAGGGAAGCAAACTCTCAGCCTCAAAGGTTAGATTTGCTGTCACCTTTCTGCACTGAAGCCCTTTAGATTGAGGTACCAGAGACATAAATCCATTAGTTCCAAGCTAAACATCACCTTGATCCTCTGGACAAAGGAAGCAGCAGTATGACAATGATGGGCCCTATGGTGAACATGACTCTTCTAAAAATTAGCCTAATTGTAGGGGCCATGGCCATTTGTCACTGTGAATTTTCAGCTCCATGTAACAGCAGTGCAGGAGCTCTAGTGACCTAAAAAGGGGTTGATTTTCCTTGACTCACTGCAAGTGTAAAAATGAGCCAGCTGAGGCCAGTATGGAGGCTGCACAATTGTTCTACCAGGGACTCGGGTTGATTGCCTTTCTAGCATTTCATACTAAGTGTGATACTCTAACTTTTATTCTCATATGACACTTGCTGCCCAGCTGCATATCACAATCCCATTCCAGGCTGAGCTGAGAGAATGAGAAAGGCAAATGCTTGAGCTACTTGACATCCTCCCACGCCCATTTTCCAAAGTGAAAACATCATTTCAATCCTGGCTGCCACACACTGCATTTGGATATAGCCCTTTTGTATTTGGGATTAATCAGCAAAGTGTTGACTGACTTCCAGGAACTGCACGAAATATAGAACACTTCATACATTTACATGTCATTCTTACAAGGGGGCCATATGAAATCTTCTCTGTATCATTCAAATTTTAGTATTCACACTGCCAAATAGAGCACGAGCTTGCTTCTTTTGAGCAAGTAACAATGACTTTGCAGGTAGTTCCAACCAAATTCTTCATTTAGTTACATGTCACTGGCGAGCTTTTGGGCATGTGACCATATCGTAGATCCAAAAACAATTACAAAGGTGAGTTGGTTTGAGTGAGCCTAATGCTGCTATTAGCAAAACGAGGGCTGTTAGTAAGGAAGCATGGTCAATAGGTAGGCGGTAAGCGTCCTCCTCTTCTCCCGTAGCCTTGCCCTGTGATTTAATCTGGAATATGCAGTGATCTAAGCCAAGAGGCATTGGTAACATGGAAAAATGTCAAGTATTTTTTCCACACAAGGTGGACACTATTCACCGCCTCATTTTATAAATCTTTTATTTCTATTCCCAGCTCCACCTCTCGCAAATTTCTTTTTTAATTTGCAGCAATGGTGTTGGCATAGGAAGGTGATTAGGTTATGAAGAGTCTACCTTTTAAGAGAGTTTAGATGAACTAGCTGTTTTCTTCCACCCCATCTACCAGCTAGGGCTGCAAGCAGAGGCACTATCTTAACAGAAAACAATAAATTTTTGCCAGACACACAGGCTGTGGGTACCTTGAACCTGGACCTTCAGCCTCCAAACAGTGAAAGTAAGTTCCTATTATTTACAGATTACTCAGTCTGGTTATTTCGCCGTAGTGGACAGAGACATCTGCCTTATGCATATTTGACTTGCTCGTTGATGATGAAAAGGCACAGTTTGATCAGGTGATTTTTGCAAAAAATGTGGCGAAGACTGGGCCCAAGCTAAGGAGACACACAGAACTAGGCTCAGACTTGAGTTCTGCTTGTGGAACTCATGTGACTTTAATGATTTTCTTGGTTTATTTAAACTTTGTACTTCTTGCCTGATAAATGATTAATTTGAAAATAGCTTCCTCAGAAAGTTTCTGTACAGAAATGAATCAAAGAACATAAAAGTGCCTAGAGAAATATATAACCTGAGACAAGCACTTGACCAATGTTGACTATGTGTTGTTATTATTATATGTTGTTATCATTATTATCATTAGTGTATTAGTCAAACTGACTTGGATTTAAATCATGAATGTTATTTTCTTTCTCTTTTTCCCTCTTTCTCGCTCTTTCTTTCTCCCTTGCCCATCCTCCTTTCTCATATATAGTTTCAGTATATACACCAGAATGACTTAAATCTTGCTTCAATCATTGAAATTACATTTCAGTATTGAAATCGCAGGCACACACCACCATGTCTGACTATTTTTTTCTTAAACAAATTATTAGAAGTATGTAGTACTCAGTTTTATTATGCATATAGTTGTTACTGTACAGAGGCAGAGATATGAGACATATAAGCTATCTGATAAGGAGACTGGCAAATCAGAAATGGTAAAGAATAATAATTGTTTGTCAATATCCATTTTCTTCTTGCTTAATGTCAGTATTTCATTTTGTTCAGGATGGTAAAATACCTGTCTAAAACCACTCCCTCCCAATTCCTTTGAAAGAAGATGATGTCAAAATTCTGGCCAAGGCAGGTGGAATTTTTTTATTGAGAGATTTTTTTCTTGAATGAAAAGGCAAAAGTTGTTTTCTTCTTCTCCTTCCCCATCACACACCTGATGTTACCGAGCCATCTGGGAAGAATGAGGACAAGACCCACTAAGGAAATGGCAACAGTGAAGTTTGGTAGATCTTGAATATCTAATGTGATCACTCAGCTTCGGAATGTCTACCTCTAGTTTAATAGATGAGGCAAAAGGCCATAGTGGCTTATTCCAATGTTCCTTCATTACTACTGAATTTTTTTTGTATAACCAAAGAGAATCCAAGGTTTTTTCATATTTCATTATTACCCTTACCAAAATCTTATCTATCTATGACACACCCAGCTATCTATATCTGTGTTCTATTCTTGTGAATTATTCCAAATGGGTTGGTTCTGGCTCATGTGCCAAGGTTCCACTGCAACCCTGATTCAGGTTCTGAGATTGGGAAGGGGCATCGGGAAAAGAATTGTCTGACAACCAGACGAGTTTCACACAGTGGCAAGCCCCCAATACCACTAGCAATCTTTATTTATACCTCAAAAACAGCATATTTTTTTCGCCCTCCAGGATTTACCTCCCTTAATTGTTCGATACTTAATAAAGCATATTTACAGAAATAGGAGTGATTTGCCAAAAATTACTGGAATATAGTTATCTTGTATTTCTTCAACTGTTCCCTTGTCATGCAAAAGGATCCTACATGCCTAAGAAATATGAGATGCATCAGTTCCCAAAGAATTTTAGGGGGGAATATTGGAGAAAAGGGGGTTTCCAGGAATACTCACATCGGTCCCATGCAAGACTCATTCATATGTGGCCAAAAGTGGGTCATACAGCTCCCAACACTCACAGAAGAAAACTAGCAGGATGTATTCATCAAACATTTATAGGATCTTTATAGTTCCCATGGAGGGATTGTAGAAATCCTAAAAAGCCTCTGAGACTCAGGAAAAAATGATCAAGCAATAGGTTTACATGCGTAGGGTTTACCTACATTAGTAGCCATGTTGAATCCCACAGATTCACTTAGAAACTATTGTCTGGAGATCTATGTCTATCACCATCTGTTAATAATGGGAGTCATCAAGAACATCTGGAATAGAATGGAGCTGAAAGATCACTCATTTGTTAAGAGTCTGCTTTCCTAGAAGACCTGGGTTTAATTCCCAGCATGCATTTAGTATCTTACAATCATCTATAACTCTGGTTCTAGGAGATCTGCTGCCTTGTTCTGGCTTCTGTGGGCACCATGCATGCATGCAAATAGTGCATAGAGATATATGCAGACAAACACATCCATGCACATTAAAGAAAAAGAAGAGGAAGAGGAATGGGAGATGAAGAGCCATGGCACAAGGCTTCTCCCAATGAATCAAATGTTTAATGATTCCCATTGTCCAACAGTTTGGTTCAACAGTCCCAACTCAGCTGTGAAGCAGTTTTGAAGGTTGAACCTTCTCCTTCCAGTTCCTCCTTAAGATTAAGGAGGAAGAGATTCTCAAAGGGGTAGTAAAATAGTGGTCAGGATAATCATGGAACCAAGCCACATGGTTCTCCTGTTCTTTTTCTTTATTATTGTTTTTATGTATTTATGTTTCTTTACTATTGTTTTTATGTATTTTATGTTTTATGTTTTATATATGAGCTATATATTTCCTGTGGTGCTCCTGTCCTTAACCGAGGATCTTACCTATCCAACTTCTCTCCTTCCCTTAATTATAAAAAGAATGTGCCTATCTCTTATCACCTTATCATTACAAGGAAGAACTCCATGGGTGTAAGATAACGTCAGAATATTCCCAAAGACAAACTGGCCATTAATCTGTATTTTACATGGGAAAGTCATCTTAAACCCAGAAGGGAATTTTACAGATCCCTCCAAGAACTCAATAAAATGCCTACTCTTGTTCCTGTCACTGGGCAGCCTGAGTTTCCAAAACCAAGTTCTGCTTCCTTTTCCTCAGCCTGTTCCTCTGTTCCTTTCCAATTGGAATTTTCCTGGAAGAATTCATGACACACACACACACACACACACACACACACACACACACACTTATACACAAATTTATCTGTTTATATGGGAAGAGGCTAAAGAGAGATTAAGTACTGAGCGAAGAGAAATAATGAGCTTTTTGCAAATAGCAGTAATCACCAACAATTAGAGATGGGCAGTGAGTGTCCAGTCTCCCTATAACCTCTTAGTTGGTTTATATTAAAGTTAAATCCCCAAGTAAATTTGACTTCAGTAGAAGCAAATATTGAAAATTTAATAGGAGCCAAACACAATCCCGCAATACAATCTAATTCTACAAATTTGATGAAATTCTAGCTCTAGACCTTCAGATATTCTAACAAATGGTACCTGTAGTGTTTCCTTGAGGTCTATTTGACCAAATTCGAGAGACTGTGTTCAGTTAACCTTAGAGAAGCCATCACATCCCTGGGAGACTGAGGATTCAGTCCATGACCCAACACAGCACAGTCTAGAAAGCAGCTTCTAGACAGTTTGTCTAGAGTGCAAGGTGGAAGGACTCGGCTGTGTAGGCAGAGAGTGAATCCCCACATTTTTACGTGGTAAGTTCCATGTGTAGCATCCCTAATGCAACTTGACAAGTCATTAATTTTACCACTGCAAATCTATTTTAACATGAATTATGCTAATTAAGAGCCCTGTGATGTTCTTGGGAGATTGAGATAGTCTAAGCACCTGTGGAAGAAGGCGATTCTAATTGGAAAGCTAACTGAGTATGAATTTTTGGTCAGGACAAATGACCACATTATGGTGTAGCTTAGGCAAGCTAATATCTATGTGATTTTATGCTCTCTATACACTCTAAGGGGGTTCTAAATGGCAGGCATCCTATTAAGCAGTCTATGCACTAATAAAAGTAAGCATTTTGTTTTATGACTCTCAAATTTAAAGCGCTTACCAGTATAGCATCCAAACTTGGCATTAGTCCCCAAAATTTCCCAAGCCACTGCTTTAAGAAGTGACCTATTCTAAGTTAGCTTACTTAAGGCCTCCAGTGTTTCACTTAGAGTGAACACAGCAAATTTAGTTACTGTTGTCTCTCTTGGAGCAGTGTGTTAATGGAGAAAGGCAGGATTACAAAACACCATCAACTGATGAATGTTGGGATCTTAGGAGGAGTCAAAAGCAAGCTAGCAATTCTACTAGAAAGCTAAGAGGAAAACATAAATGTTCGCTAAGAAATATACAGCAAACCTCATCTTATCGTCCCTGCTGTTTTGACCATGCAATGTCTTTATTGTGCAGACTTGCTATGATTTCATAACCACTTATATGCATTACTTTGATAATTTCTTTTTTATGTTGTTGTTAATAAGCATCCACTCTGTGATTTCTAATTTACAAAGGAAATTATGAGAAGGCAAAGAATTGCCAAATGTGATAAGTGGATGGTAGTGGCACTATTTATAGTTACAAAGAAAAAGG